GTCGCGGCCGCCCCGGCGGCGTGGGCAGCGCATTCCTGCCCGCGGCCCCCGCTCCGGCCCCGCCGCTCTGGGGGTCCCATCCCAGCCCCCAGCAGTCCCCGGCCCCCGCCGCGGGCACGGGACGACAGCGGTCCCCGTTGTCCCTCGAGCGGGGCCCGGTGCCAGAGCCGGGAGCAGCTTTGCCGCGTGCCGGGGTGGGAGCCGGGGGAGCCACGATCCAGGAAACCCATCGGAAGCTGTTGGGAGCAGCCCCGGAGATAAACGGCGCCCGCCGCATCCGCGGCGTTTCCTGCGGGGGCCGCAGCTCCACGTCCCGCGGGGGAGAGGAGGGGTCGGGGACCCGCTGAGACCCCGCTGTCCCCACAGTCTGCACCGGCACCGACATGAAGCTGCTGCGTCCCTCCAGCCCCGAGAGCCACTACGAGACCCTGCGGCACCTCTACCAGGGCTGCCAGGTGGTCCAGGGCAACCTGGAACTCACCTACCTGCCCGCTGACGCCGACACCGCCTTCCTCAAGGTGCGCAGCGGGAAAATGCCCCGAGGAAGGGGGGGAAGGACGGGGGTCCAGCCCCTCACCCGTGTCCCCCCCATCCCAGGACATCAAGGAGGTGCAGGGGTACGTGCTGATCGCGGAAAACCAAGTGAGCGGGCTGGAGCTGCAGAGCCTGCGCATCATCCGCGGCACGCAGCTCTTCCAGGAGCGCTTCGCCCTGGCCGTGGTGGGCAACGCCGGCCCCGCCGGGGCACCGGGGCTGCGCCAGCTCGGCATGAGGCACCTCACAGGTGGGGGAACCCCCGGCTGGGGCTGGCACGGGGTGTTTGGGGATGGGGGTTGCTGCACCAGCAGTTGGGAGCTGCCATGGGGTGGCGGGTCCCTGTCCAGGTCTGGGTGTCCCCGTGGTGGGTCCCCACCCAGGATTGGGTACTCCCATGGAGTGGCAGGTCCCTGCCGAGGACTGGGAGTCCCCACGGGGCTGCAGGACTCCCCTGTGCCCATGCTGAGCCCCCCTACCCGTCCCCCCACAGAGATCCTGAAGGGAGGGGTGCGCATCGAGAGGAACCCTGAGCTCTGCTTCCAGGAGACAATCCTCTGGAGCGACATCTTGCACCGGCACAACGAGTTCCGTGCCGAGATCCAGGTGGACACCACCCGCACCCGCAGCTGTGAGTGCCCCAGGGAGGGGTCTGGGGGTTCCAGCCCCCCCTGGCACCCCCTGCTCACGTTTCCCCCTGCGCAGGTCCCGACTGCCGGGCGCTCTGTGCTGAGGGGCACTGCTGGGGCGAGGACAAACGGGACTGCCAGACACGTGAGTGAGGGGCCCACAGAGGCTCTGACCCACCCCAGGGACCCCCAAATCCCCTGGGAACCCTTTTCTTTCCCTCTGTATGCCCCTGCTCTGCTGATCCTCACTTGGCACCAAAATCTTTGTCCCAGAGACTCCCTGGACCTTCTGCTTGCACTCCCACATTGCTGCCCTACTTGCCACCTAAGTCCTGTTCCCAGAGACCCTCTGGACATTCCATTTTCCCATTTTCCCTATTTGCCACCTAAATCTTGCTCCCAGAAACACCCTGACCTTACTGTTCCACCCCCAAATCCATGTTCCACTGAGCCCCACGTGGCACCCAAATCCTGGCCCCAGAGATCCCCTAAAATCCCTGCTCTGGGAGTATCCCCCCACACCCCAATTCTCTACCCTGAGGACCTCTGCTTACACCCCAAATCCTGGCCCTGGGAACCCCCCAGATTCCTGCCCCACTGCCCCCACTTGGCACCTGAATTCCCACCACCCAGATTTTTGCCCTGGGAACCCTCCAGCCCCTTATCCTGGGGACTTCCCCCATTGCCTGGAGGGGATCCTTGTCCCCAGCGTGTCCCTCCGTGCCCCCGCAGTGACCAACAGCATCTGCCACGGCTGCCCACGCTGCAAGGGCACGAAGCCCACGGACTGCTGCCACGAGCAGTGCGCCGCCGGCTGCACCGGCCCCAAGCACTCCGACTGCCTGGTGCGCAAGGGACGGGGGCACCGCGGGTCCTGGGGGGCACCGGGGGGTCCTGGGGGGCACCAAGGGGTCCCGGGGGGCACCAGGGGGTCCTGAGGGGCACCAAGGGGTCTCACACAGCTGTGTCCCCGCTCCAGGCGTGCCTGAACTTCAACCGGAGTGGGATCTGTGAGCTGCACTGCCCCCCGCTCGTCGTCTACAACTCGGACACTTTTGAGTCGATGCCCAACCCTGACGGGCGCTACACGTTTGGTGCCAGCTGTGTCAGCCAGTGTCCCTGTGAGTGACACCCTGGGGGGGTGCAGGGACAGCCAGCGTGGCCCTGACCACCCCCCCTGCCCCCTCCAGACAACTACCTGGCCACGGAGGTGGGGTCCTGCACCCTCGTGTGCCCCCAGAACAGCCAGGAGGTCACAGTCAACAATGTCCAGAAGTGTGAGAAGTGCAGCAAACCCTGCCCAGAGGGTGAGAAACTCCCCCAGGCCAGGCTCTGGGTGCCCTGGGAATGGGGGTGAGCAGCCCCCAGAGGCTGGGGAGGGGGGCTCTGGAGACTGCTGGATTGTGGATGAGCAGCTCCTCAATGACCTGGGGGGCTCATGGGGTTCCAAAGGTTGTGGGTGAGCAGCCCCTCAGTACCTGGACATGGCTGGGGACCCCAGGGGTGCAGGTGAGCAGTGCCCTGGGGGCTGGGGGCACTCTGGGGACCCCAGGGATGTGGGTGATCAGTCCCCAGTGCAGCTCTGGGGGCTCCAAGGCTGTGTGGGGGTGCTGCTATGCACTGTGGGGTACCTCCATGGCAGGTGGGGCAGTGTTCTGGGGGGCTCGGGGGTCCTGGAGGAGCACCCCAGCCCTGCTGTGCCCCCACAGTGTGTTACGGGCTGGGAGTGGATTTCCTGAAGGGCGTCCGTGCTGTGAACGCCTCCAACATCCAGCACTTCTCCGGCTGCACCAAGATTTTTGGGAGCCTGGCCTTCCTGCCCGAGACCTTTGCTGGGTGAGTGCCTGATTCCCCCCACCGAGCCCCCTGAGACCCCCAGCAGG